CCTCTCCTCTCCTCTCCTCTCCTCTCCTCTCCTCTCCTCTCAGCTTCTCTTCTCTCCTCTCCTCTCTTCTCCTCTCCGCTTCTTTCCTCTCCGCTCCTCTCCTCTCAGCTTCTCTTCTCTCCTCTCCTCTCCTCTCCGCTTCTCTCCTCTCCTCTCCTCTCCTCTCCGCTTCTCTCCTCTCCTCTCCTCTCCTCTCCGCTTCTCTCCTCTCCTCTCCTCTCCTCTCCGCTTCTCTCCTCTCCTCTCCTCTCCTCTCCGCTTCTCTCCTCTCCTCTCCTCTCCTCTCCGCTTCTCTCCTCTCCTCTCCTCTCCTCTCCGCTTCTCTCCTCTCCTCTCCTCTCCTCTCCGCTTCTCTCCTCTCCTCTCCTCTCCTCTCCGCTTCTCTCCTCTCCTCTCCTCTCCTCTCCGCTTCTCTCCTCTCCTCTCCTCTCCTCTCCGCTTCTCTCCTCTCCTCTCCTCTCCTCTCCGCTTCTCTCCTCTCCTCTCCTCTCCTCTCCGCTTCTCTCCTCTCCTCTCCTCTCCTCTCCGCTTCTCTCCTCTCCTCTCCTCTCCTCTCCGCTTCTCTCCTCTCCTCTCCTCTCCTCTCCGCTTCTCTCCTCTCCTCTCCTCTCCTCTCCGCTTCTCTCCTCTCCTCTCCTCTCCTCTCCGCTTCTCTCCTCTCCTCTCCTCTCCTCTCCGCTTCTCTCCTCTCCTCTCCTCTCCTCTCCGCTTCTCTCCTCTCCTCTCCTCTCCTCTCCGCTTCTCTCCTCTCCTCTCCTCTCCTCTCCGCTTCTCTCCTCTCCTCTCCTCTCCTCTCCGCTTCTCTCCTCTCCTCTCCTCTCCTCTCCGCTTCTCTCCTCTCCTCTCCTCTCCTCTCCGCTTCTCTCCTCTCCTCTCCTCTCCTCTCCGCTTCTCTCCTCTCCTCTCCTCTCCTCTCCGCTTCTCTCCTCTCCTCTCCTCTCCTCTCCGCTTCTCTCCTCTCCTCTCCTCTCCTCTCCGCTTCTCTCCTCTCCTCTCCTCTCCTCTCCGCTTCTCTCCTCTCCTCTCCTCTCCTCTCCGCTTCTCTCCTCTCCTCTCCTCTCCTCTCCGCTTCTCTCCTCTCCTCTCCTCTCCTCTCCGCTTCTCTCCTCTCCTCTCCTCTCCTCTCCGCTTCTCTCCTCTCCTCTCCTCTCCTCTCCGCTTCTCTCCTCTCCTCTCCTCTCCTCTCCGCTTCTCTCCTCTCCTCTCCTCTCCTCTCCGCTTCTCTCCTCTCCTCTCCTCTCCTCTCCGCTTCTCTCCTCTCCTCTCCTCTCCTCTCCGCTTCTCTCCTCTCCTCTCCTCTCCTCTCCGCTTCTCTCCTCTCCTCTCCTCTCCTCTCCGCTTCTCTCCTCTCCTCTCCTCTCCTCTCCGCTTCTCTCCTCTCCTCTCCTCTCCTCTCCGCTTCTCTCCTCTCCTCTCCTCTCCTCTCCGCTTCTCTCCTCTCCTCTCCTCTCCTCTCCGCTTCTCTCCTCTCCTCTCCTCTCCTCTCCGCTTCTCTCCTCTCCTCTCCTCTCCTCTCCGCTTCTCTCCTCTCCTCTCCTCTCCTCTCCGCTTCTCTCCTCTCCTCTCCTCTCCTCTCCGCTTCTCTCCTCTCCTCTCCTCTCCTCTCCGCTTCTCTCCTCTCCTCTCCTCTCCTCTCCGCTTCTCTCCTCTCCTCTCCTCTCCTCTCCGCTTCTCTCCTCTCCTCTCCTCTCCTCTCCGCTTCTCTCCTCTCCTCTCCTCTCCTCTCCGCTTCTCTCCTCTCCTCTCCTCTCCTCTCCGCTTCTCTCCTCTCCTCTCCTCTCCTCTCCGCTTCTCTCCTCTCCTCTCCTCTCCTCTCCGCTTCTCTCCTCTCCTCTCCTCTCCTCTCCGCTTCTCTCCTCTCCTCTCCTCTCCTCTCCGCTTCTCTCCTCTCCTCTCCTCTCCTCTCCGCTTCTCTCCTCTCCTCTCCTCTCCTCTCCGCTTCTCTCCTCTCCTCTCCTCTCCTCTCCGCTTCTCTCCTCTCCTCTCCTCTCCTCTCCGCTTCTCTCCTCTCCTCTCCTCTCCTCTCCGCTTCTCTCCTCTCCTCTCCTCTCCTCTCCGCTTCTCTCCTCTCCTCTCCTCTCCTCTCCGCTTCTCTCCTCTCCTCTCCTCTCCTCTCCGCTTCTCTCCTCTCCTCTCCTCTCCTCTCCGCTTCTCTCCTCTCCTCTCCTCTCCTCTCCGCTTCTCTCCTCTCCTCTCCTCTCCTCTCCGCTTCTCTCCTCTCCTCTCCTCTCCTCTCCGCTTCTCTCCTCTCCTCTCCTCTCCTCTCCGCTTCTCTCCTCTCCTCTCCTCTCCTCTCCGCTTCTCTCCTCTCCTCTCCTCTCCTCTCCGCTTCTCTTCTCTTCTCTTCTCTTCTCTTCTCTCCTCTCCTCTCAGCTTCTCTTCTCTTCTCTCCTCTCCTCTCCTCTGTGCTTCTCTTCTCTCCTCTTCTCTCCTCTCCGCTTCTCTTCTCTCCTCTCCGCTTCTCTCCTCTCCTCTCCGCTTCTCTTCTGTCCTCTCCTCTCCTCTCCTCTCCTCTCCTCTCCGCTTCTCTCCTCTCCTCTCCTCTCCTCTCCTCTCCGCTTCTCTCCTCTCCTCTCCTCTCCTCTCCTCTCCGCTTCTCTCCTCTCCTCTCCTCTCCTCTCCTCTCCGCTTCTCTCCTCTCCTCTCCTCTCCTCTCCTCTCCGCTTCTCTCCTCTCCTCTCCTCTCCTCTCCTCTCCGCTTCTCTCCTCTCCTCTCCTCTCCTCTCCTCTCCGCTTCTCTCCTCTCCTCTCCTCTCCTCTCCTCTCCGCTTCTCTCCTCTCCTCTCCTCTCCTCTCCTCTCCGCTTCTCTCCTCTCCTCTCCTCTCCTCTCCTCTCCGCTTCTCTCCTCTCCTCTCCTCTCCTCTCCTCTCCGCTTCTCTCCTCTCCTCTCCTCTCCTCTCCTCTCCGCTTCTCTCCTCTCCTCTCCTCTCCTCTCCTCTCCGCTTCTCTCCTCTCCTCTCCTCTCCTCTCCTCTCCGCTTCTCTCCTCTCCTCTCCTCTCCTCTCCTCTCCGCTTCTCTCCTCTCCTCTCCTCTCCTCTCCTCTCCGCTTCTCTCCTCTCCTCTCCTCTCCTCTCCTCTCCGCTTCTCTCCTCTCCTCTCCTCTCCTCTCCTCTCCGCTTCTCTCCTCTCCTCTCCTCTCCTCTCCTCTCCGCTTCTCTCCTCTCCTCTCCTCTCCTCTCCTCTCCGCTTCTCTCCTCTCCTCTCCTCTCCTCTCCTCTCCGCTTCTCTCCTCTCCTCTCCTCTCCTCTCCTCTCCGCTTCTCTCCTCTCCTCTCCTCTCCTCTCCTCTCCGCTTCTCTCCTCTCCTCTCCTCTCCTCTCCTCTCCGCTTCTCTCCTCTCCTCTCCTCTCCTCTCCTCTCCGCTTCTCTCCTCTCCTCTCCTCTCCTCTCCTCTCCGCTTCTCTCCTCTCCTCTCCTCTCCTCTCCTCTCCGCTTCTCTCCTCTCCTCTCCTCTCCTCTCCTCTCCGCTTCTCTCCTCTCCTCTCCTCTCCTCTCCTCTCCGCTTCTCTCCTCTCCTCTCCTCTCCTCTCCTCTCCGCTTCTCTCCTCTCCTCTCCTCTCCTCTCCTCTCCGCTTCTCTCCTCTCCTCTCCTCTCCTCTCCTCTCCGCTTCTCTCCTCTCCTCTCCTCTCCTCTCCTCTCCGCTTCTCTCCTCTCCTCTCCTCTCCTCTCCTCTCCGCTTCTCTCCTCTCCTCTCCTCTCCTCTCCTCTCCGCTTCTCTCCTCTCCTCTCCTCTCCTCTCCTCTCCGCTTCTCTCCTCTCCTCTCCTCTCCTCTCCTCTCCGCTTCTCTCCTCTCCTCTCCTCTCCTCTCCTCTCCGCTTCTCTCCTCTCCTCTCCTCTCCTCTCCTCTCCGCTTCTCTCCTCTCCTCTCCTCTCCTCTCCTCTCCGCTTCTCTCCTCTCCTCTCCTCTCCTCTCCTCTCCGCTTCTCTCCTCTCCTCTCCTCTCCTCTCCTCTCCGCTTCTCTCCTCTCCTCTCCTCTCCTCTCCTCTCCGCTTCTCTCCTCTCCTCTCCTCTCCTCTCCTCTCCGCTTCTCTCCTCTCCTCTCCTCTCCTCTCCTCTCCGCTTCTCTCCTCTCCTCTCCTCTCCTCTCCTCTCCGCTTCTCTCC